GCATCTCCAGCTCCGGTGGCTGAAGAGATCGTCGGGATCAACAAGATCGCCATGGATTATCAGGGATCGGGATCTCCTATTTGAAGCTGGAACTTGATCGAGTACTATCTCGGGTATGGAGAATATCTTAACTGACAATTCATCGGGGGAAGCAACAGAAGTGAACCTTGAATGGAATATCTAGAACTTCATACCTTTATCACGCCTTCAGCAGTAATCCTTTGAACGCCAAGTGTCTCAATTGGAGACATCCTTGGCCTTGTGGGGGCACTAGTGTTTCCGTGCAGAATAGTACTTGCTGGCATCTGCGCCATCTACTCCTCATAGGGTGTCATCCCTTGGATTTCGGGGTTTTTTATCCGACTCCCGTGTTTATCTTTCATGATATTGAGAGCACCTTATGCTTGGGGTACTCCGCAGATCTCAATATCACATTCAATTTGTGTTGCATTGCACATAATTCTGATTGGTTGTAGCTTGGTATGGGGAAGATATGTACGGAGTATGTGTGTCCTACATCACTTTGAGTGGAATGGACCTGTGAGAAATCAGTTCTTGTTAGGTATGCAGTGTTGTAACATCAACGTTGGGTGTCGCCGCACTACAGGTGGCTATAATACAGAGGAATAGACATAATAATTGACCTTGACAACCAGGCCTCATCAATAATTCACCCTGGGTCCGTAAATGGAACGAAATAACACACTATTATTTCTCACATACATCCTCATGTTTCCCCGCTGGAATCCACGAAAAATCGAGTAACCGGCCTGATGAGCGCCCAAAAAATAGAAGGAAAAAAATACAAAGACCTTTTACGAATTAATTGGCCCGGAATTACGTATGGAGTACTCCGTATACTCCGTATGTATTGATGTGATGCGTCGCAGCTGTTTCAGCTCCACATGTTCGGAGGATCTTGAATAATCATGCACAGTTCCTGCAACCAGTTCTTCATTGGCCCTTGCATTTCTCCGTGCATACAGAAGCAGCGAGGTAGGGGTGAAATACAAGCTAGAATTGCCTTGAATGTAAGGTTTCGCAAATACTGGTCAGGTCGAGTCAACATTGAACATGGTACATTGGTGTCCGATTGTCCATTTACCTGCCATAATTTGTGTCACCAACAGGCCGCAAATCGATGAGCAGCTGACTGCGAGCTGTCTGAGGCCGCTCCTTTAAAATAGGACAATATTGATAACACCCCAGAAGCCAAAGACAGACGCCGTACCCCAATGCGACGATTTAGAGTTTCAAGAGAATTAGGGTCCGGAAATCCCGTGTCTCCCGTAGTTCTCCAGTTGGGGTACTCCTAAGTAGACCTCTGCAAAGCCCACAAAGTACACAAAGCCCAAAGCCCACTAATGGGCTGGGTTTTGGGCCCAGTCCTTAGGCCCACCGATAGGCCGTAGGCCCTACAAAGTAAACAACACAAACATTCCGAAAAGACTTTTTAAATTACCCTTGAGACTCCCTCGGTAGCTCTCATCTCGAGTTAACACTTTAATATTTTATCGATTCAAAATCATTTATTAGTTAAGTTTATATATCACATTTAAAAACGCGAGAAAATATGTTATTTAAATATTTGGTTTACTTGTAAAGTAGTAGTACTCCCGTATAAATCCTAAATATATATCAACCTTTTCTATGGTATCTCAACCTCTACTTATCGAGTCTTATTTAAAATCAACATATATACGGAGTACTTATATAGCTATTACAATTCTAAATTCCTAATTTCAACACTCAGATTAGTAGAAGGTTAGAATATAGCCACTACAAGACACCGGATTGGACCCCCTTAATGGGCTAGAATGGGGGCCTTACATACCCCTACGAATGGGCTGTGGGTTGGGCTTTGCGGAGGTCTACTCCTAAGTCCACAAAATATAGGAACATAATGGCTATGGGTAACGGAAACGGCGAGAACTCATTATGTAGAATGAACAGTACAATACACAAAATGTCGAAAAGGTCTCCTAGACTACACAGGCCAAGGTATCACAGTCATATTTGTAAATGCAAGTATAAGTCCCGGGCGTCTTAGCCTATCTAACAGCGTATACTTCCCTCACTAACATATTCGGTTCTGTCATGGTAATTATGCATCTTCCTGGTCGTCAAGAAGCAACACATTGAGCTTCTGCAGTTTATCCTCGCAGTGCACTTCCATCTGCATCACCACATCAACGGCATCCTTTCTGGTGATAAGCAGTTGCGATACCAGCCAAAAGTTATACCCATTTTTATAGAACCCCATTGATGCCCATTCGTCACTTGTCACTCCATTGCGCAGTGCGATCCAGTAGTCACGCCAGCGGGATAAAGCAGTCCGGATGGCAATGAGGACAGAATCTTCAGGAATCGTGGTGTCTTTTGTGCCAACCCCAGCACTTTCCCTGGGATTCTTGAAATAGCCCATGCGGATAGAACAACCGAGAAGTGTCATATGGGTATTGATAAACGAGAATAAAACTAAACATCAAGTTAGCTGGTGCAATGTACAAAAGAAAGCTTTTGGCGAAGGACATACTATGAATTAAGATAAACATGTCTAAAGCAGTGAGGTCCATCGGATTCGACTCAGGTGCTTCGTCGAACAAATTTTTGAACGCCTCTGAAACCCTAAGGCCACGTGAAAAGCGAAAGTTCGGCTCTGCGAACGGATGCTCGGAGGAGAAAAGCGATTCATCGCAGGGCAGATCGCATTGCATTTCAGTGTGTGTCAGGCGACACGGGAAGTTTTGAAAGAAGAGGAATGCGCCATCGAGTAGGGAAATTATAGAAATAGTTCTGTCAATATTAGTAAGGGAGACCCAAGAACCTTCCAAGGTTGAAACGGAGGAAAGATACGTACCTAATCTGACTTTCTTTTTGTATCCACAAGTGCTCCAGGGCCTGGTCTTCGGGAAGGTGACGAATTTTGACAAGGCCAATCCGTCGAGCAACCTTCACAACATCACCGAATCGATTTTCCATCACGCGGTTTCGAGACGAACGGTTTCCTGCCCAGTATTGGACAATGGTGATGATAACCCCGGCCTGAAATTTCTGGAACCAATCCCAATCACTGTTTTCCTCGCCAAAATATCGGCTACCTGAAAACGTGGCGCTGATTTCACTCTCTGCCGAGAAAACGTCACTCGCAAAGACAAACAGCTCTGCAAAATCCAGCACTCTCTTCGCGATGTATACTTCCCTCTGGTCGCTACTGTACATTGCGCCCATGAAGACCACAGCAGCTAATAGTGGCGGGGGAACTATCTCCGGATCAAAGGATATAGGAAGCATGGGGCAGCTGGGTTGCCAGTATTTGAAATAGAGCGCAATGTATTTTCGTATGCGTACAGTGGTCAATAGAAAGTTGAGATTCGCAGATATCTCCTCCTGCGCTTTAGAGTCAAGCGGGACCTGCCACGCTTGTGTTGATATTAAATGAATTAAAGTTGTTGCGAACGGTCGCTCTGGTTCAAATGTTGGTGGATCTCCGGGTAATGTATTAGGATGCTGCCCTGGAGGGATGAGAGACTGGTAGCTCAGTTCATCGGCATCATAAGGATTCTCCGTGGGCTTATTTGTATCACCGAAAGGGCCGTGGAAAAAGTCTAGGAATGTATCTTGGAAGAATTGCGGTGTGACAGAGTCGGAGTCAATGAAGCCAGAGCCGTATTCTGGCCGAGCGCTATCGATGTTGTATGGAAACCCTGTGCTCTGCGATTGCTCGAGATCATTTGTATTATGATAGTTGAGACTGCGCGTACGATCACTGCGCGGGGGAAGTCGAAAGGTTTCTGTAAAGCTATCGGTGCCGCCGTTAAGTAGGAACTTGATCGATCCTCGGTCGGATGAGGGCTCTTCACAGATTTCGGGTTTCACCGATACTTTTGTATGACTTGTATGAGTCTTCCATTGCAACCAAGTTGACCGAAAGCTTGTCGTACCTTCTTCAATCCCGAGGTGGCCTGCACCTGCCGTCCGCGCGTTGTTGCACGTCAAGTTTCTCTTCTGACATGATCCGCAAGGGCTTCCTCCATCGCACCGTAGTTTCATCGTGGTACACTATTCAATAAAACGAAAGTCAGTTCCTATGGTGATATTTCAGGTAATCTAGACACGGACTAACCGATTGACAGGCATGTCGCCGCCTACCCCTCTGACCCGTCTCCGGAATTTCACGACCCGCGCGCCTGGCGCAATCAGTGTAATGGACGCGCAGGTTGTCACTAAATTCCAAGTATCAGATTCTAGAGTTGGTATTATAGATTGTTTTGGCTTATCTAACCAACGCGCGAACGAGGTATTGCAGAATACGCAGGGATATGGTTTCTGGCCCGAATCTGTTGATGTTCAGCATGTGATATGGGTAGCTGCAGGACGGGACATACGTCGCAAATGGTGGCGTTTGAGGTGATCAATGCGCGTGAATCCACGCTGACAGACATCACAGCGGAACTGCTTGTCCGTCGGCTTCATGGTGGGCCGGGGAGGAGGGGGATATCCGGGGTAAAGGAGAGAGCTCCAGGGCTGCTGAGAGCCTCGGGGACGACATCGGAGTCCGTGGGGGGGTAAAGGGTGAGGTATTGGTATTTCAGTGGGGCCTGTGGGGAAGAGGTAACTTTGGGGTTTTTTTAGCGCCAATAGATACAATAGATACTTGACAATATTACCAATTCAGTACGGTATGGTCAATTCTCGGCATCACCATCTATAATACCAGGTTTGATGAAGATGGGGATTACTTGGATGTGAACAAGGGTCCCATTCCGGGGCGGGTTTTCTTTGAATACTCCATTGTGTCCTCTTGAAACTACGCCTTGAGAGATATGAACATGTCAATTTTTCCATTAAGTCAAGAGAAACCGCAAGATGGGAAGATACTAAGAGTATGTACAATCTTGATAAGCTCTTAGACCATTCTTCCATAACATGTTCATTGCTGACCTCAAGTAAAACATCACCGTGTGGTTTCCTCCCAAGCAAACTTCATCGTTGAGATCTCAGAGCGAAGTGATCACCTTACGTTTAAGAATAGCGTCATTCAGTCGTCCATGGACTCTTTGGACGTCCCCAAACCGGATGTATCCGCACGACTCACTCTCCAAATGATTGAACAAAGCACCAAGAGAGGTAAACTCTTTGTTGCAACCACGCGTGTTGAGGCAATGATAGATCTTCTCTCTGTGGAATGGCGAGTTGAGATGAGAGTTTAGACCGGTCATCGAGTTGAAGCCCCTCTGGCACAGGTAGCACACCCAGCTTGTACCATCAAAAGCGCAGTCCGTGGCATAGTAGCGTACGTTCTGGTCATTGTGCCATTCAATCTGCTTGTTTGTGACAAGTCCGTTACGGTCAAGGCGTTGGACCACTTGGTGGATTGTCTCTCGGTTCCACTGGGGAGCACTGGGGCAGGTACCATATTCGATGTGATGGGTGACGCCACTCGCGGTGACAAAGTGAGCGTTGCAAAATGGGCACACGATCTCAGTGCCTCGATGAATCTTCGAGTTCAAGTGCTATTCGTAGACGAGATGAACACAAATTAGTCAAAGTCCTACGACCAACCAGGGCCTAAGGGGTGGGAATCTCCCTGAGGTTAGCTTGGTTCTCTTACCTGGTGAAGACAGTTCTCATTCATGAAGTGCCGATCGCACTCGGCACAGTAGTTCTCATAGTGCCCTTTGGCCTCCATGTGCTGGTCGGCAGCTTCATGGGTGTGGAACATCTGGGAACATGTTTCGCAAGCAATTTTTGGCTCCCAATGGTTCTTGGCATTCATATGCTGATTGGCAGCAGCCTGCGAAGAGAAGGTACGGCCGCAGGTTTCGCATTCAAAGACTGGTGCCCAGTGATCAAGCGCATCCATGTGCTGCTCGCAGCTACGCTCAGTCCGAAATTGTCGAGGGCAGGTCTCACATTCAACCCAATGGCCGTATTCGTCCATGTGAGCATCGCAGTCCTCGCGGTAGCGGAACTCAAAGTCACAGGTGCCACATTCGTACATCTTGACTTGAAGGCATAGAACCGAATGAGGAGATGTGGATTGCAAAGACTTTGTGACGAATGTTGAAAGTAGCAAGATGATGCAAAAGGGTCGGAGATATCTTGCAGAGAGGAGAGAGGTGTCAGATGGAAAGAGAGCGAGGGGGGAGGGACATGTTTTGTTTGTCACATAGAAAACGCGCGGGCACTACTTCTAGTCTCGATGGATTGAAATTCCCGCACTCTGGCAGATAGCAATCGAATAGCTTGTGCTTTGGAATTCATAATGACTTAATTCTGTTTAGTATATGGCTATCGCCCTCCATGGCAATCTTGCTTTGACCCGTCACTGTAAACGGGTCGTATCTCTAGCGCTGGCGCCTAAGTGTCATGCAAATGTGCCCAATCGAGATTTGTAGTAGAAGGAGACGGACCTCATCTGATTGCTCGATCGTGATATCCAGATGTTTCTGACATATGGAACATGACTCCTCACTAAAAAGGCTTTACTGTCACATTTCAGCTATAAACTTTGGATGATGGAGATTTACTGCCTGGGAAACCCGAAAGTTGAGGCTGAATAACAGAAAATACTTGAAAGGGAATTTCATACCCCGGAAAATGAAGAATACTGTTGTTTTAGTTGAGCACTACGGTAGAAATAAAAGAAGAAGAATTGTTGGAATGTTTTACAAAGATGTAGAAAAAGGAATTGGTGAAATTGTCTAACCTCTTCATATATTCATGATTCCATGGTTCGTATATGGGTTGATGAAGGCGACGATGAATTGGAAGTAGTCTAAATTGCATTACCATTCTATGATTTCGAGATCATAGGATTTGTATGGTGGGATAAGTGATAGCGGCGTCAAACTGCATCGATGCTGCTAATCTCGATTCCATGGGAGTCCTGAATTCCTGGCGTGGAAGAATTGACGTGTGCATGAAATCAATTATGATTCAACGTTGAACAAATCCAAGGGTATGTTGATTATGACGGATTAACTTGGATTTTCATCATGATATGTACTATGCAGAGCTTAGCTTATTATAAAATCAGTTCATGTTTGAAAGAATCTAGTATCTATGTATTAAATTAAATCTCATCTACAATGGATATGTAAATATAGAACAAGAAGTAAAATTGCAAATTCATCCATCATTGCCTATGTTTCGGCATATCCACCAACTCCACATCACTATTCGCTGGCGACCGAGTCTCATAATTCACCGAGTAGGTGACAGACTTGTTGATATTGCTGCTCGCCGTGGGCATTTTGTTATAGTACTCAGCCATGTTAGATGGCTCCGTTCGGTTCGATGATCCCCCCAGGAACCGAGGGAACCATCGGCCGACGAGAGCCCTGAATGCAGGCAGGCAAGCGCACATAACAGAGATCTGAGATTCGATGACGGACCAGTGCATGAGGGGGTATAGACCGAGAGTCTCATTGATACCCCAGCGGTTGGTCCAGAAGACGACGACTCGGATAATCGCGATGATCGTTAGACTGTGAGATTGGTTAGTGACAAGTAAATGAAACCAAAGCCAAGCTAGGGAGTACATACACAGAGCCCACAATAAACATCGCTGCCACAGTTATCTTCTTTCGCAGCGGCAACTGCAATTTGATCACCTCATACACCGGCATGACGATCAAGATACAGTCGACAAAGATGTTCACCAGACAGTTAACAAGAACCGCGACGATAAAATTGATGCAATGTCCAGGTTCCTCGTGCATCCAGCCGACCCACGTCAGGCGTGTCGGCGAGCAACGGAAGGCATCCACCGAGGCCCAGGTGATACCGATCGCGGCGTTGGCACAGATGAGTCCGTATGCTAGATAGCGGAATGTGCGTGCTTGGAAGATGCGGAGTAGGAAGAGGCACACGGAGATCTTTGCGAGGGAAATTTGGATCTTATACATAACGGCCATAGCTTGGAAATACTGCTCTTGTTAGATTAGAACTGGGCCTTGGAAAGGGGACCGAACCTGGTAGAACTTGGTGACCGAGGGAAAAGGGACGTCCCAGATATTTTGTCCGAAGCCATTTTGGATCACTGATTTGTTAGTTCTTCTTTCTTGTGAAATCTGGTGAAGTCGATGACTGAGAATGCCGGCTTACTGTATATACTCAGAACATAGATGGCGGCCCCTATGACCTGCAAGGCTGTTAATACCGGGCGGAAGAACACCAAGAAGTGACACTGACATATGATACAATTATTGTATAGTCATCCCATCCCCATCCACCAGCGAGGCCGCTGCTCTTGGCGATCATTCTCGCGACGAAGAAGAACGAGGCAAGAATGAAAGGGAATAGAGTCGAGGCGTTGATGACCGCGGGGCCTTTGCGTGGTGTTATATCGCATTCTTTTTCGTAGAGACGTTTTGTAGCTAGCAGAGTTAGACCAGGCTTGGTATATCAATCATGATAGAGACGCACTGAAGAATTCCTTTGACGTGCAGTTACTTTCAGCACAATCTAACAATGCTGTGGGACGAGAGCTACTGGCACAGAAGCATGATGTATTATTGCTCAGTGAGCAATCAGAGAATAACTGGTTGTCACAAGTGATCTAGCACATGCTAATTAGCAATAAATACAATTGCGTTGGGAGATGTACGTACCGCACAAGATGGGAAGACATTTGTATCCCAGTCTGTTGCATGGATCCCCACTATAAGCAGAGCTAGAAGGGTGAAAAGGAAGAAATGACCCCTCATGATAGTGACAGACGTGTTCAAAGACAACGTTGAAGGTAAATAAGAGGGGGGAAATTTTTCCCCCTGGGCAGTAGCAGGTTTTGTTCCAACTTCGATATGAATGGTCCCGAGTCAGTAGCGTGGACACTCCTTGGACATTAAGCTTATCTACTTCGCACGATGGAGTCGAGAATATTTTCTACGGAGTACATGGTAGGTATAGATCTCGATTGGTAACCATAAGCAGACAATCATGATTGGAACACAAGGAAATTCTCCACATTCAAAGCTGGTTCAAGTGAAACGAGCGCCTCCAGGGCTAATGCCGGTGAGCACCGGAGCACCGAAGCGGGCGCCTTTTTTTCCAGAATATTTCCGTAATGGCTCTGGGATCGGAGGCCACGCGACGACAACCACATAATTGCAAGAAACACGCTACTTGCCCCCACCCAGAACCGTGGTTAGGAAGTTCCTCGGTGGTTTCTGCACAGTTGGGATGTCAAGGAATAGATCCGAGGTCGATTTTTTTTGTCGCCAAGAAACCAGATGGACTCCAGACCTCGATAGATCGGCGCCAGTATGTGCCCCAATTCGGCCCGGAAAAATAGAATGGAATGAAGATCAACAATTTTTTAATGAAACTACTGGGTTTAATAATCAAATCTTCGAAATCTTCGATTTAATTACGTACATATAAATGTTTATTTATGGCGAAAACAACAATTGCAATAGTCGTATGGAGTACATGGTACATGGATGTACCAGCAGTACCAGCATCCAGCATAGCTCACGTTGCAATATTCGTTGTTAAATGAAATATACACCAGTGATATTGGATGTTTGGTACAGTGTGAGACTCATGGCTAGGGGATGGACACTACGGAAGGAATGCACTAGGTCGAAGGGAGACATCAAGCCCCCAGAAATGCTCCACTAGTCCAGATTCAGGATCAATAAGGCGGGCTTTTTATAGTATGTGCCTCATTTTCCATACGAGAAGCATGAGCTGAAAGTGATCATTATTTTATGGTCTGGAAGGGGAGAGCTGAAGTCGCGGCAAACATACTATGTTTGAAACACGCTTGTCGAACTAGTGTTGGACCACAACCGAAGGCAGGGTCGCAGATCTTGCTCCGGCTCTACTTTGTACATCTTAAGCCGATCATAAAAAGGAGAGTGTGGAGATTCACGTCACTATGTGCCCGAAACCCGGCTGTATACTGACGTTACGGGACTCGGAGCACACAATACCTAAATAAGACGAGATCTCCGATGCTAAGGCTCCTAGTTTTTAATGTCTTAGGGGCTTGGGCCTCCGACAGTTGAGCCCCAAGGTTCCAATGGATATTTTTAAATACGTAAGACCATGGCCTCTTCTGAATGGTAGATTACTCACACCCGCAGATCAATTATTTAGCACTTAGCTCAAGTGTTTCGTTAGCTAAGGCAAATGTATATATATCATTTCCAAACGCCAAATTGCTCGAATATGCGCCAATTTTCCGTTCGTCATTCTAGCCTCGGTATGTATGAGACACCGGCGGCGTTTAGCGCTCAGGGCTACCCCTTTTACAGGCCATACAGCGTTTCACAAAATTCCAAGCGGGCGAGGAGGCACATCTTACGAAGCGATATAGGGGTCAGGCGAGTTTTAGAGGATCTTGATGCCTTGATGCCTTATGTTAGAATGGCAGAAAAATATGTATACCTGAATTGCCATTACATATGCCTTAATAATCAAAGTATCTGGCTTCTCCCAACGTTGTTAGGCAAGGCATATGAAGCTTCTGTACACCATACAAATCAATGCATCTCCATTTTCTGGGTGGTTGCAAGTCCAAAAAAATATGGAGATTCCTGCCTGACTTTTATGGTGTCCAAAAGCTTCATTTAGTTAGGCAGGTTGATGTATTAACAATTTACAGTACACTGTATAGAGCGGTGTATAAAGCGGCGGTGATCCAGGCATTAAGGCACCATATCCCTGTCGGAGCATGACGACCGGCATACCGGGGGATTTATTAATCCTACACATTTTTGTAATTAATGTTATGTAATCATGGCTCCATATAAATTGTACCAAGAGCCGATACAGAAATACAGAGAGTTGAATACCACTGATTGGACCCCTACATTTACAATACAGACCAATCCGACAGTTATGAGCCCGGTTCGCATCGAAGAAAGCATTACTATTTGAGATATAGTATCTAGTACACTACTAGAAGCCTGCTTTCTACCCCTTGAAACCTCCTAGCTACCCCTGAATTAGCAATTGTGAAGCTATTCCCAGCTACCCCTGAATCCAGCA